ACATGGCAGAGGGTAATACGGTTGCAGGTGGAATTGAGGTTGCTAATCAACTGACCTTAACATAGGGCGATTGTGCTGTGTTGTCCAGATGGTATCCCAAGGGTCTTTAAAAGTGGAAGAGGGAGGCAGAAGAGGAGATCAGAGCAATGCATTGTGATAAGAACTCAACCTGGGCCGGATGTGTTGGCTCAAGCCTGTAATCCCAGCACTTTGGGAGGCCAAGGCAAGATTGCCTGAGCTCGCAGGTTTGAGACCAGCCTGGGCAACATGGTGAGACCTCATCTCTACAATAAATTAAAAAATTGGCTGGGTATGGTTGTGCACACCTGCAGTTCCGACTACTTGGAAGGCTGAGGTGGAAGGATCGCTGGAGCCCAGAAAGTCAATGCTGGGGTGGCTGTGAGCGTGCCACTGCACTCCAGCCTGGGCGATGGAGTGAGACTCCAACTCAAAAAAAAAGAAAAACAAAAAAACCCATCCTGCTTTTTTTTTTGGCTTTGAAGACATAGGCATGGTCCATGAGTCAAAAAATGTGAGCGACCTCTGGAAGCTGTGAAGGGCAGGGAGATGGATTTGCCTCTAGAGCCCCCAGTAAGGAGTGTGTCCCTGCTGATACCTTGATTTTAGCCCATTTTGTGCTTCTGAATGACAGAACTGTAAGACAATACATTTGCATTGTTTTGACCCACTAAGTTTGTGGTAATTTGTTATAGCAATCATAGAAAACTAATACAGAGGGCATGGGGAATTAAGCACCAGCACTTAAATGCATGTGTCTGGAAGTGACAAGTAGCATTTCATCATCATTATTATTATTATTTTTTGAGTTGGAGTCTCACTCTGTCAATCAGGCTGGAGGGCAGTAGCACGCTCCCCGCCACTGCAGTCTCGACCTGCTGGGCTCAGGCAATCCTTCCGCCTCAGCCTTCCAAGTAGCTGGAACTACAGGCACGCACCACCATGCCTGGCTAATGTTTTGATTTATTGTAGAGATGAGGTCTCGCCAGGCTGGTCTTGAACCTGTGGGCTCAGGCAATCCTCTCACCTTGGCCTCCCAAAGTGTTGGGATTATAGATGTGAGCCACTGTGCCCGTCCCCAAGTAGCTTTTCTATTCACATTTCATTGGCCTGAGCAAGCCACATGGGCATACCTAAGTTCATAGGAAGCCAGATATTGGTGACTATAGCAGTATCTATTATACCACTGCTACCTGTGGTGCTTACTCCAATTTTCTGTTCTGTTTATTCTACTCCATTCTATTCTGTTCTATCCTATTCTAGTTTTTTTTTTTTGTAGTTTTCAGGGTACAATCTTTTACCTTCTGGGGTAAATTTATTCCTGGGTATTTCATTTTTTGATGCTATTGTTAATGGCACTGTTTTCTTAGTTTCCTTTTTGCATTGTTCATTGATAGTATATAGAAACACAACATATATTTACATGTTTTTAAAATTGATTTATTTATTATAAAGATGTGGGGTTAATTTCACTAAAAACCAAAAAATCCCTTAATTTGGTTGTGTTACCAACTAGCGGGGTGTGACCCCTGATCTGGAAAACACTCCACAAATCCTCTTCTGCCCATGCCCTCATGGACCGCATGGCGCACCTAGGCGTGTGACACACCTAGGCATAGCTGATTGGCCCAGGTGTGGGACACCTGACCAAAGCTGACGAATCAAATTCCTCTCCTGGGAGTTTGGAATTGGGCCATTCAGCCAGTCAGCAGGGGGAAGCTGAGTGAGAGGCAGAGTGGACACAGGTTCGGAGGGAGAGTCACAGCCAGCCAAAGGATGGAGGAGCAGGAAAGCTCTGAGTAAGCAGAGAGAACCGGTCCACTGAGACGATGGAGCAGCCGCACAGAGAGCAGTGCCGCTGGGCGAACACGCAGCCCCGGGAGGAGAGGAGGGGAGAGACGGCAACCGCCTGAGCCTCAGATGGCGGCCCAGGGGCTGGCTCCCACGCGTTCCACCTGCTCAGCCTTCCCGTGAGCTTTTTGCCTCCTTATGGAACCCCCTGCCCCTTTTCTTGAGCTGCCTTCGGGTGTGGGGTGGCTCCTGTTTGTGCCTCCAGTGAGCCTTCATCAGCTAGAACATCACTGGCATTTCTCCTACGGGCACCCAGCTGTGGCTTTGAAGATCCGCCTGGGGGCATGGATGGGACTGGGGGTGACCAGACCCGCCTCCCGCAGCTTGGAAGTATAGCTGTGACTCCACTTGGGCATCTGTGTCTGCTCCCTAGAGTGGACGGGCAGGGCCGTCCATGCAGTGCTACATGTGTGGGGGTCCCTGTAGACTAGAAACACTCCCACAGAGATCTCTTTCTGACAGTGTTAGGGTTGGGAAGCCAGCGGAGTCTTTTTCAGGAAGGGCTTGGCAGTGTGACAGAGTGGAAAAGACACGGGCTTCAGAGACAGGCGGACCACAGTTTACCTCTGTGAGCCTCGCCGTCCTTGACTCGGAAACGGGACTGTTGTCAGGGTCAGCTGTGTTCTAGGAAAAATACTTAAAGTCCTGACTAGGGCACACATACTCTCGGGGAGTGCGGCAGCTGCTGTTGTTGTTTGAGGAAACCATCTGAGTCTTGCTTCCTGAAGGAGGTGGCCCTGGTGCCGATTCAGTCAGTGGCAGGTCATTCCCCACAGCTGGCTGCGCTTCCTGTCCCCATCCACCCTCTCTCTCCCCCTTGCTGCTCTGATGTCCTCATCTCCCCCCCACTTCTGTTATTCCTGATGTGGATGAAAACACCCGCTTTAGGAAGGCAGCAGGGTTGACGTGAAGCACCCAGCCTCTGCAGGGAGGAAGACGGAGTTGGGTGTAAATCCTGACTGAGTTTTTGCTTGCTGTGTGTTCCTAGGCAAACTGCTGCATATCTCTGAGCCTCGAGTTAGCTCTCTGTAAAATGGATGCCATAATATGCATTTCATAATATGCAGTTATGAGAACTCAATAAATGCTAATTCCACCTTCCCTCCTTCCCCTCTTGAAGTCGGTCCTCTTGGCCTGGCTAGAGTACCCTTCCCTCCTCCCAGCAGTTCCTGGAATGACTTTCCCTGACTCAGGCGTTTGTGGCCTCTCCTGTCCCTCAGAGCCTGGGCTCCCGAGGTCTCTGGAAGCAAGTAGGGTGCCTGTGGCCCGTGCCGCTTTTCTGGTCTCCTCTGGAGGTCTAGCCCCAGCTTGAGAGCTGTTGCTTCAAACCGTGTGATCTGTGTGTTTTCTCACTTTAGCAATTATCACACCCCAGCTGTCTGTGGCATCTTCACACTCCAAACACTAATAAATATTTATGAGAAGGAGAAAAGCCCAGGCCTCCCATGGGAAATAGGGGAGGGATGCGCCAGGCTCTTCTTAGCAAGCAATGCAGAGATGCATCAGTGGTCCCTGGGGGCTCCAGAAGGGAGTGTGGGGGTGGGCGGAGCCGGGGTTATGTAGGCAGTTAGAGCCTTGTTCGCCTTCCCTTCTCATGGGCGGGGGTGGCCATCTCTATGCATGGTGGGCCTCCCATTGGGTCCACCCAGGCACCTGCTAGACCCCTGCTCCTGGGGGAGGGTTGGGTGGGCATCCCTCTCACTTTGTGTGGGCTGGCTCCATCTCTCTGCTCTTTGGTTTCTTTTATCCATCCCTCATTCTTTTATTTTCACCCATCCCCTCCAGGGCCTGTGTTCCTGTCCACCCTTCCCCCCCCAACATCTTTTCTCATCTCTGGGTCTCTGTCTCTATCACGCATGGACGTTTCTTCTCTCCCTCCTGACAATTACTCTGAAGAATTCTGGAGCTCAGTGATGGAGGGTGGGTGGGTGGGTGGGGGTCTCAGGCTCCCCGGTCCAGGTGAGAGAAGAGGAGCTCCAGGAGGAAAGTAAGAACTTCTCAAGAGTCGAGGACTGTATCTTGACCTGACTGTGTCCAGTGCTCTGCTGGTGACTATAGGCACATCCCCTTCCTTTGCTGGGCCTCAGTTTCTTAAGCAAGCAAGGCAGTTGATTCTTTCATGAGTTCATTCATTTACCTGTTCAGCTAATATTTGTTTGCTTGCTACCGGCCATCCATTAACACGTTGTACAATGACTGCGGTGCCGTTCTGGGTGTTTGTGGTAGATACATCAGTGGACGAGAGAGATGAAGGTTCCTGCCCTTGTGGAGTGACATGCAAGCAGAAGCATAGTAAACAAGTCAATTATGTGGTAGGGTAGAAAGTGGTGACTGCTATGGGGTGAAGAAGCGTGGAGCAGGAGAAGGATGGGGGGCCCTGAGAGCAGCAGGTTGAAGCATCATAAGTCAGTGGGAGCCAGGCAGGGTGTCACGTGCCTGTAGTCCCAGCTACTCTGGAGGCTGAGGTAGAAGGATCTCCTGAGCCCAGAAGGAAGTCGAGACTGTGGTGAGCTGTGATCATGCCACTGCACTCCAAGCATGGGTGACAGGGTGGGACGTCAGCTCACAATCAATGAATAAATAAAATAAAAATTTAATGGTTGAAAAAAGATTAGAAAAAAAAGTCAGTGGGGTTGGGCAAGCAGCTGGAGCGTGGGGAGCAGGGGCGTGACCTGCAGGAGAGAACTGCCAGAGCAAAGGCTTTGAGGCAGGAGTCACCATGGTGTGTTTGAGAAAATGCCAGGGGCTGTGACTGGAGAGGAGAGAGGGAGAAGAGGAGGTCATGTCGGGAGGTGGAGGAGGCCAGGGCAGATCACACAGACCTTCCAGGGCACCAGGCTTTTCCTCTCTTGGGCTTAGAGAATTTACCCTTGGAAAGACTCCCTCAGCCTCCCTGTGAAGAACCGAATGCAAGGGGGCTGTGGCGCAGCCCAGGAGAGCTATGCTGGCGACAGTGGTGGCTTAGCCGTGGAGATGGTAAGGGCTGGTGATGTGGGTGTTGTCCGCTGTCAAGCTCGCGGGATGCCCGTCAGTCACTCCAGGCTGGGTCCTGGTCCTGCCTCAGGTGGCCTTCAGGAGCCTGCCCGGGGTGGGATACGCGGACCTGGCCTGACCCCTCTTTCTCTCCACAGAGTGTTCAAGAAGGCGAGCCCGAATGGAAAGGTGAGTCTCCAGCAGCCACGCCAGCTCCTCCCTGACCCCAGACTCTGGTGTTCTTTTCTGGGACAGCAGAGGAAATGACATCTCTACCGAAGCGCACACCTCTGCGGGAGGGGGCAGACGTGGCTTCCTGTCTAAGGGGTGAAACAGCTGTGTCCTTAGGTGCCCTGGGTCTGAAGGAGGAGGGGCCCTCTCAGAAAACTTTCTGTCTTTGAGTGGGGTGAGGGGTACAACTATCCTGGGCTTTAGGGACCCCAGGTCTGGTGTGGAGAGAGACTTCAATGTGACCCAATGCCACCTCCATATCCAGGGCTGCTCCCAGGGCCTGTCCCCTCTTTTTCCTTCCTGCAGGCCCCATCCTACTTCTCTCTCAGTTCAGCAAATAGGCATTACTGACATCCTTCCATGCCAGGTGTGGGCCAAGTCTAGTGGGGACTAGGTAGGGGAGACTGAGATGAACCTGATAGCGGAGGCAGACACGGAGATCGATCATTTCAACATGAGGTGACGAGTGTGAGATGCAGGGGCTTCAGAGGCTGCGGGACCCGGCCTGGTCAGCGACAGCTTCTTTCGGCCGGGCTGTGTTTCCAGGCAAGGCGAGGTGAAAAGGGGCATCCTGGCAGGAACGTAAACATGTAGGAAGTGTGGGGGCATCCCAGGCAGCTGGGTCTCAGAGTGGCAGGAGGGAGGCAGAGGGCTGGGAGCTGCAGGGCTTGGCCACAGGGAGCCCCTGGCTGGGCTTAAGATCTTGAACTCCTGGCCTAGGTTGGCAAATAGCTCATGGTCCTGCCTCAGAGATGCTTCCACAGCCGCCTTCTGCGCCCACACCAGACGCCACCGATCGCCATTTATCACTCTTTTTCTGCTGCATCAAGATCCCATTTTAGATTCCTTCTCAGTCCAGGGCCCGGGGCGATCAGAGTTGGCACTTGGAATAAAACCCATTCGTCATCCTTACTTCGGGTCACTGAGGAATCATGGAAGGGTTTTGGGCCAGAGCAGCATGGTTCGATGAGCATTTTGGGATGACCAGTCTGGCTAAGGTGGGGAGAATGGCTCGGAGCGCGTGAGGCTGCTGGCAGCAGAGCTTTAAGGGGCTGGTGTGGGCCAGGCAAGCGTGGCTGTGGGGCTGGAGAGGGAGAGATTTGAGAAATATGATGGGAGTAGAGTCATCGGGATGGAGAGATTGTTGAGGAGCAGAGGATGACTCTCTGGATTTGTCTTTGAGCCGCTGGAATTCTCACTTGCGGATTTTCCCTGATTCTTCACTACCTCAAAAAGCAAGTCTTCATATGCAAAAATGACAAGCTTGTGAGGCAGTGCATTTGATAGCTAGAACTAACCATTCCACCATGTATATATACTTTAAAACATTGTGCTGTGCATGTCAAATAACATATAATTTTATATGTTAATTTAACAGGCACAATGGTTCACGCCTATAATCCTAGCACTTTGAGAGGCTGAGGCAGGAGGATTGCTTGAGCCTAGTACTTTGAGACCAGCCTGGGCAACATAGCAAGACCTTGTCTCTACAAAGAAATAAAAATTTAAAAAATGAGCTAGGCATGGTGGTACATACCTATAGTCCTAGCTACTCGGGAGGCTGAAGCAGATTCTATGAGCCCAGGAGGTGGAGTCTTTGGTGAGCCTCTGCACTTCAGCCTGGGCGACAGAGTGAGACCCTGACTCAAAAAAAATGTCAATTTAAAAAAGTAAATTAAATCGAAAAAAGAAGTCAAGGCCTCATATAAGTAGATCTCTGCCAGGCTGCATGGGGCAAGGAGCAGTTGAAGGTCATAGCGCAGGAGTTCAGAGCTCCTGAGTGCTTAGTGGTCCAGCGTGCCTTACCCTCTGAGATGCCTGACTCCTGCTTGCTTGTTTCTCCATCCCCGGTGGGACTTGTCATGAGGATTGCTCCAGGCTTCAGTGTTCTCATCTGTAAAACAGGAACAAAAATGATTTCTGCATAGGGCTTTGGGGGGAAGTAGTACTTTCATCTTTTTATAAGGGTTTGCTAATTAGTGAGGGGTGACTGAGGGCAGGGGTGAGGGCCTAAGTCCAGTTAGGATTTTGACAAGGGTTAGGAACGGGTCTGGAGTTTCAGGGGCAGCTGCCAGGGTTTCCTCTGGGACAGGAGCCAGTGTCCTCCAGGCCACCATCTGCTAACATCTTCTTGCCTCTTCTCTCCCCAGCTCACCGTCTATCTGGGAAAGCGGGACTTTGTGGACCACATTGACCTCGTGGACCCTGTGGGTGAGTCCCTGGAGGGCGGGAGGAGGGTGAGAAGAAGGTGGGGCTGGCCAGGCCTCATAGAAGTAACCCACAGCTTTCTGGAGGGGGCTGGTGAGGAGAATGGGGTGATTGACTTCCTGCTTCAAGCAGCAAGCGATTACTGATCAGCTACTTTTCCAGTCAAGTGAGAACTGTAAGAAGATGTTGTAGGAAGTACTGAGGAAGGAAACAGGCGTCCTGATGATGAGGAGGGAATGACAGTAGCAGCCACTGCGTACTGTGAGGTTTATTACGTAGCAGAAAGTGGGGATAGCTACGATTACTTTGCAGACAAGGAGAGTGAGGCACAGAGAGGCTCACTGACTTGCTCAAGGTCACAGAGCTGGTGGGTAGAGGAGCCTGGTTCAAACTTGGCCTTGTGGCTCCACAGAAATCCTTTGTTCTGCTGCCTCCTGATGGCAAAGGGTAAGAGACAGAGGGGAAAGCTTCTTGGGGCTCAGGAAATGAGAGCCGTCCTCATCTACATGGGGGTCCTGCCAGTGACTGAAGCTACCTTCCGAGGTCTTGTTCAAGTTCAGGGTTTTGCAACCTCTGCACTCTTGACGTTTTTGGGTTGGATAATTCTTTGCTGGCGGGACCTGTCATATGTGTTATGGGATGCATGGTGACCTCTACCCATGTAATGCCAAGTACCTCCCACTCCAGTGATGACAACCCAAAATTTCTTTAGGCTCTGCCAGAAAAATTGCTGATTAAGAATCGCTGCTTTCATTGGAAGTCTTAGCTTCGCTGCCCCTTCTCATGACTGAAGGAGGGAGGCCCAGAATGAGCCCTGTTTTCACAGATGAGCACAGCGGAGCCCCAGAGAGATTCAGTGATGTTCTTTTTTTTTTTTTTTTTTTTTT